TTTATACAACCACCAGCGAAGACCAACTCAGTGGCTGGATCAAGAAGCAGCTCCAAAGTACTTCCCAAAGCCAAAGTTGCACCAAAAAATGGTCATGATCACTGTTAGGTGGTCTGCTGCCAGTCTGATTCACTACAGGTTTCTGAACCCCAGCAAAACCCTTCCATCTGAGAAGTAGCTCAGCAAATCAAAGAAGTGCACTGAAAACTGCAATGCCTGCAGTCAGCATTGGTCAACAGCAAGGGCCCAGTTCTTCTCCATGACAACCCCCAACCACACATTGTGCAACCAATGCTTCAAAAATTGGGCTATGAAGTTTTACCTCATCTGCCACATTCACCTGACCTCCTGCCAACTGACTACTTCTTCACGCATCTTGACAACTTTTTGAAGGGAAAACTCTTCCACAATGAGCAGGATGCAGAAAATGATTTCCAAGACTGTTGAACCCTAAAGCACAAATTTTTATGCTACAGGAATACACAAACTTATTCCTTGTTGGCAAAAATGTGTTGATTGTAATAGTTCCTACTTTGATCAATAAACATGTTTGAGCTTAGTTAACGATGATGTAAAATTCAGTCTGAAACCACAATTATTTTTGCACCAACCTATTAAATGTAACATTTCTAACCATTTTTTTCTAGCTTACTTTATGATCAGAGAATATACTCTGTATCATTACAATCCTTTCAATCATATTCAGACTTGTATTATGGTATAGCAGATGGTCAGTTTTTGAAAATGTTCCACATGTACATTAAAATGTATGCTATAGGGCCAGGCGTGGTGGTTCATCCACCGCCTTGGCCTCCCAAAGTGCTGGGATTACAGGTGTGAGCCACCATGCCCAGTCAAAACAGTCTTCTAAACACCACCAACAAACAAGCTAAGCTGGGCGCCAGAGCTCACACTTGTAATCCCAGCATATTGCGAGGCAGAGGCAGGTGGATCACCTGGGGTCAGGAGTTTGAGACCAGCCTGACCAACATGGTGAAATGCCATCTCTATTAAAAATACAAAAATTACCTGGATATGGTGGCAAGCGCCTGTATCCCCCCCTACTTGGGAAGCTGAGGGAGAATTGCTTGAACCTGGGCGGCAGAGGTTGCAAAGAGCTGAGATTGCACCACTGTACTCTGGCCTGGGCTATAGAATGAGAGCCCATCTCAAAAAAAAAAAAAAAAAAAAAAAAAGTGTACGTTGTTTTCTGTAAATGTTGACTTGGTCAAGTTTAATTGCATTGTATTTTTTGTATCTCTCTCCTGTCTCAGCCTCCCAAGTAGCTGGGACTGTACTACTTAGTCTCTAACAGTCTCTACTATTTTTAGTAGAGAAAGGGTTTCACCATGCTGGCCAGGATGGTCTCCATCTCTTGACCTTGTAATTTGCCTGCCTCAACTCCCCAAAGTGCTGGGATTACAGGTATGAGCCACCATGCCCGACCCACACTTTTTGACTGAATGTGTAGTCTTCCTTTATGGCTGCAGATTTTTCTATTTCTCCTTGTAATTCTCTGATAAACTGATAAGCTATTATTGAATTCTGTAAGTCTAGAGTTGCTAAACCTTCCTTGTGAATTAGCCCTTTTATCATTAGCAACTGTTTCTCTTTACTATTAGTAAGTCTTTTGACTGAAATTCTACTGTTTGATATTAATACAGCCACAGCAGCTTTCTTTTGGTTAGCGTTTAGACATCTTTTCATAACCTTTCCCTTTCAATCTTCCTGTATCTCTGCGTTTTATGCATCTTATAATTTGGTTTTATTATCTTGTTTCTCTTTTATTACAGCATTTAGCCTATTTACATTTAATGCAATTTCTAATACATTTAAATTTAAACTTACCACCTCACCAGTTGCTTTTCCCCATATGCCACTTTTTGTTATTTCCTCTTTCCTGCCTTCCTTTGGGTTGAATGCAATTTGTCCCATTTTATTCCATTTTTGTCCCATTAGCTTGGTGACAATACACTCCTGAAAATCTTTTAGAGTGGCTACACTGAGTATTATAAAAGCAACTTTGAATATTAGAGCTACTTGGCCCCAGCTACTCGGCAGGCTGATGCAAGAGGATCACTTCAGCCCAGCAGGTCAAGGCTGCAGTAAGTAGTGATTGTGTCACTGCATACTAGTCAGGGCAACAGAGGAAGACCCTGTCTCAAAACAAAAAACGAATTATAAGTAACCTAGAAATTATTTAAAGTATATGAGAGTATGTGCATAGGTTATATGCAAATACTGGTGCCATTTTATATCAGAAACTTGAGCATTTGGAAGTCGGTATCGTGGAAGATTCTGAAACCAATTCCCCATGAATAACAAAGGACAATTGTACTCTGAAAGCAGAGTCACTCTGAAAGCAGAGAAAGAAAAAGTTCATTTGATTACGCTCATTTTTTTTCTTCCCATTTGCTACTGCCAGGAACTCTTAGCATCATTTTTTTGTGTGTTAAATTCTCAGTCTGGAGATTATTATCCAGGCAACTTAAGTGTCTGCTTAGCCCCACATAAGCACAGACATAGGGCTACAAATTTGCAGGGAAAAGAACACTTTTTCCCCCAACCAACCAGAATCTAAGCCAAATCATTCAAGTTTTCTCACAGTCCCTCTTTACTTTAGGGCAGATTTTTCTAATCTATTCTTTCACTAAAGAAGGCTGCTCTTTGAGATGCTGTGTATGCATAGGTGTCAGGGCTTTAAGTACCATGCTACTGGAATGGATGACAGGAAATCACAAAAGATATTAGGCAACAGAAGATGATCAAATCTGACAAAATACTTACTATAACTACAAGGAAAACACCTCAACGATACCCTCAACCAGCTTATATTCCAAGAGAACAATGGTTCTCAACTGGGGACATCTCTAGCTCCAGGGAATAACTGGCAATGTCTAAAGATTTTTGGTTGTCACAACTGGAAGGATGCTGCTCACATCCAGTAGGTAGAGGCCAAAGATGCTGCCCCCTACCATGCACACAGGACAGCCCCATAAGACTTATCCTGCCAAAAACGTAGCAGTAGAATAACAGAGAAACAAGCACAATAAAATGCATATAATATTAGTCTGTACAATGTACAGGAGAGCATGCAACTGGGCAGGGGAATTCATGAAACACTGTAACAGGCACCTAAAGCTTAAATTGAATTGGAAATTATTCTGGAAGGTAGGGGGATCAGGCAGTACGGGCACTATAAGCATGAGTGTGAAAGTAAGAGGCATATTCTTCTACATATTTACTGCACTACAAATAATTTGGTACCCCTAAAAAAAACTTAGGGGCAAAGAGCAATAGGGCTGAATCAGAAGTCAGGGGCCAGATCACAAAAAGCCATACATACTCAATGAGGAGTCTGGACTTCACCCTGTAAGTAATGGGGTGGGAGGAGGTTGGTATTAAATGTTAATGAAGAGAAACAAGAAGAAATTTATTTTAGAAAGTTCACTCTGATAACATTACAGACAATGGTTTGAAGGCAAAATAAGATAAAGACCAATTAGTAAACCACTAAAATAATCCATGCCAAAGACTAGAAACATAATGAAAACACCAAGAACCAATATAGTAGCATAGACTGATAAAAAGTATGACAGTCAATCTTTAACAACAATATGAAGAGAAGTTCTAATCCCAATTTTCAAGCCCCATTCAGAGATAAGAGTATAGGAGGTAAACGTTTAATGAAAGATAATGCTACCCCATTCAGATTACTTATTAAAAAGCTATGCAAGTATATAGACAAGATCATTACTAGGGCATGTATCAGCAATATCTGTGTTCTGGTGCTTTGAACCCTGATACAACAACAAAAATATTTTTAAAACCTTTCTCTTCTATTATCACATTTTCATATGTGTATTTATCTTACTTCCTGATATTTCCTGTTACATTATTTTCAATAAAACGCCAATGTCTTTATTTTGTTAAATATTTAATGTTTTAAGATTCAAAGCACTTTATTTGAAGACAAACGATTAATAAAATAACATTAGCTTTCAAATACAACTTTGTAACAGTGTAAGAATGGTAAACAGCCTCCCTTTTAAGAAAAAATCAGCACTTAAAACTAAAGGAAAGCTTTTATGTACAGCTAATGCAGAAAGGGAACCATGACACCCAAAGACATAGAAAAATGCCTTGCTTTAATCCAATACATGTCCTACCTACTGGATCTCGATAATGACATTTTCCATATACCATTTAAAATAAACTATCCTTGAAAATAAGGCTTTAAATCATTCAATATAATCTATGAAATAGTATCTAGTTAACTGGATTACCTCAAATATACCAAATATTATACTCAGCAAAATAAAAACCAGTAAATCAGTTTGTGTCTGAAAGCCTGGTGTTCTAATCTACTGGATTTTTTTTCCCCTAAGATTAACAATATAAATAAATCTTTTGAGAGTACTCAACATATTATGACAAGCTCAGGCATGTTGAAGGTGGTATGGCCACAGACAGTGCTCAATATATTAGAAGTAAAATTCCTATTTATAAATATTAACTTTCAACAATATGACTCACCATTGAACACCAGTACAATACTTTAGCAATCATTTTATGTGACATGCCAAGTGGAAAACAAATTTCTCAACAATAGTGGGTCATCATATTCCTTCATCTAACAGTTACTTTTTTAAAAAATTCATCTTTGGAGGCCAAGACAGGATTGAGAGGCCAGGAGCTTGGGACCAACCTGGGCAACATAGAAAAGCTCTGTCTCTACAAAATAATAATAATCATAAATTAGCTGGGCATGGTGGTAATGTCTATAGTCCCAGCAACTCAAGAGGCTGAGGCCGGAGGATTGCTTGAGCTCAGGAGGTCGATGCAATAACCTATAATCATGCCACTGCACTCCAGCCTGGGCAAACAGAGCAAGACCCTGACTACAAAAATTAAAAAAAAAAGATTAACTTATTTTAAAAAGCTCCACAGTTCCACATATAACAAGCATGATTAAACACTTTAAAATTAAACTGAAATAAGCTATGAAATTTCATTTTTCCTTTTTACACAAAGTTTCACATGTAAAATTCTGAACAAATTCTAAATATTTCCTTGTTGTTTTTAATTATTCCTAATACTATTTAAAATTATTTATTCAACCGCTTCTTTAGATTCTCAAGGTGTTCCATATTAACATTTTGTAATGCCAGTACCATTGCTTTAGACAAGGAAGGATTAAATGAAATAGTCATTAGACAGCATAAATCTATTAGATCTCTCTGACATTTCTGCAAACCTTCCAAGAACTTTTGGTATTGAAGAGGATCCTTTTTTAACTGTTTCATTTCTGGTACTGAGAACCCTATCAGACTATTAAGTATTTCATCCACAAAGTCTACATCTAGATATGCAGTACCATCAGACACCTTTGCAGTTATACTCCAAATGCCACCAGAACTTGAGAGATTTCCAGTTAAGGTCACAATAAATGCTTTCACTTTCACTGTTGTAACTTCCTTTGGTTTGCTGGCCATTAGAATAGACAAGTAGATAAAGGGTGGAGAATACAAATCCATGGCAACAGGAAGACTAGTGCTATTCTCTGATGATCTTAAAGAACAAGTCTGGAAATTGTGACCATTTGCATTAAAAATTTGTGAACTCCTTTTTGGTACACAGTTGACCACCTCTCTATTTAATATTTTATTATTTAAGAAATGTCCATCTGAACTGCTGGTTTGTTTTATTTTATTATCTTCCTCTAAGTTCGTATCTTCATTTGTAAAATCATGGGATAAGGGTACATTATGATGAACTGAAAAAATACTCCTGTTTTGGTCTCTAGCAGATGGACAACCAAAAGATTTGTCTTCATTAGTCAGTTGTTCAGATACCTTTTTTTCACTCCAATTATTGTTTCCATTTTTGCAAGTCAAAGAAAAATTATTCATAGTATTAGGATTATGTGAAAATGTCTCTAAATTTGGACTGATATTTCTGTTAAAAGTCAGTGGCTGCAATTTAGTTTCCATCTGTTCTTTCTGGACAGTTTCTTCTAAAAGCAAGGCCTCCTCCAATGAAAAGTCATCTAATTCCCCATCCACGAAAGGCATAGATAGGTTTGATGGATCCTCTTTTGGTCTTGGAGAAATAACAGATTCTGGCTCAAAACTTGACTGTCTTCTGGGAATGGTATTTGAGGAACTACCTGTGGTGGAACATCTTTCTGAGGAAGTGTCATTATTTGCTGCAAGCTCATCATTTTCATCAAGACTTGCCAAGAGTTCTTCATCAGAAGGACCTAATGCAAGATCTAGAACATCTGTAACTCCGGAAATATTTTGGTTAGAATTGCTTGGTATGACTGAAACTACAGGATCAGGTTCCCCTATTAATCTTGCAAGTACTTTTTCTTGGGCATATTCTCCTAAAAGAGCATCTACTTCACCTCCTAACACTTTTACATTTTCTGGTTTCAGTAAGAGAACACCAAGACGGAAAGACACATTTCCATAAATCAAAATTTTTGTACCCGGAGGAAGATCACTATGAAGAGCTGGAATAGACTGATATTCCATTCCCTGTATTTGTACAATTCCATCAGTTAGCTGTAGCATCAACATTCGCGAAGGTTTTGCTTCCCAAGGTTTTAGGGTTACTTGTGTTTCAGCTGTAACTAGATCATTTGTTGTATTCTTTCCTCTCAACTTCTGTATCTGGGAATATGCAGGCTGACTTACATCAACCAAGGAATTAATCTGCAGAGCATAAAATCCATCTAGTTCTCCTTCTGGAATTTCTAAAATGCCATCAGGTAAAAGAGGATGCTCCAAATCCCTCAGATCAGTAAGGAGCCACTGCTCAAACACTTGTTTATTCATTTGGGCCTGACTCAAGTTAACATTATTATTTTCTTCTTGGATCCAGTTAATACAAGCTTCCAGCCACATCGGAGGTACTTTAATATGCCATGTAGCTAAAAGCCAGGTTTCAGCTCTTAATACAATACTAGTCACACTCATTTCTTTTAAATAAAAGAAATAATAAGCATCTACTACCTGAAAACAAAAAAACAAAAAAATTATGATAATTCAGTACATTTGAATACAGCTTCCGTAATTCTCTAAAATGCACAGACAGGCACATCCTTTAGATTTTTCACTCTTGAGCATCTTAAAAATCTTTACATTTTATATGGTCAAAATTCAAACACTACACATAGTCAGATGGTATAATGAGAAAATCAAAAGGTTTGAGACAGCTTATACCTAGGTCTGAAAGCTGGCTCTGTCAAGTTACAAGCTATGTAACCTAATATAAAACTCTCAACTTCTGTAACCAGTTTTTTCATCTATAAAATGTCAATACCACCATCTATCCTACAGAATTGTTATCAGGATCACATGAATTATATTTGTAATGCACAATGTCAGACCTATAAAGGATATTCAGTAAACAGTAGTTACAGTAGCCTCCCATATCTGTGGGGACTATGCTCCAGTACCCCCAGTGGATGTCTGAAACTCTTAAATATTACCAAACTTAATATATACTATTTTTTTAAATCTGATAACCAACCAGCTACTAAGTGATTAAAGGGTGGGTAGCGTAAACAGCACAGATACACTGGACAAAGGGATGATTCAAGTCTAGGGTATTATTTCATCACACTATTCCGAACAGTACAAAATTTAAAACTTATGAATTATTTCTGGAATTTTCCACTAAATATTTTCAGACCCTGATTGACTGCAGAAAGCTGAAACCACAGAAAGCAAAACCATGGAGAAACGAAGACTACAGTATATTATAATTGGTCTAATAAACAGATTCTAATCATTTAAAATTTAGTTAAGAAATAATATTCACTAATGTTTTTTATGTATGTATAATAGCTCTAATATAACTCTATTAAAACATACCACTGTGTTTGTCCATTTAGTACTTGAATATGTGGTCTAAAGATAAAATTATAACAAGTAACAGCAGACACGGAGCTGACAGATATAAAGCATCTTATGTGTTGAGCTAAATATTTTCAAAAGTCACGTGAGACAAATATATTAATACTTAACTTCTAATTTTCTCAGTATGATAAAGCAGTAGCAAAACACTAAAGCCTAATCATCCTTGTGTTCACGAAAGTATAATTTGTTCCTTCTACAGATGAGGATATTTAGGAAGTTGAATATATTAAAGTTTTAATATGCCCATAAGAAAACTTACCACTTGGAATAGCAGCACAGGGTCTGAAGACAGAATTTGGAACTGGTTGTTCAGTGGGTTACTTGAAACCCTCACTGGCTCAGAAATAGCCCTGGGAGATAAGACAAGAAGCAGTAGGAATTATAAGATGAAGTTGTAGAAAGACTGGACTATTTTCTTAAGTGCAAGAGTCTGATGGTATGGTTCATGGGGATCAGAAACAAGTGACCATGAGAAAGTCACGCACTTTCTCTAAGCCTGTTTCCTTTTCTATATACTTACCTCATAGGTTTACTGTGAAAATTAAAGAAGACAGGAGGTGAGATACAGTATTTGATGTTAAGAGTACATCTCTGGTGCTAGACTTATAAACTCTTACTTATAAACTCTGTGACTCTAAACAAGTTACTCAACTTCACAATATCCTACTTACCCTTATCTTATTTGTAAAACAAGAATAACAGGATTTTCCTCACAGGCTTATTATGAAGATTAGATTAATATGGAAAGAGCAGCACCTGGCTCATAGCAAGAACTCAGTAAATGCATACTATTATTAGACTTACAGTGCCTACTACAGCACCTGGCAAAAAGCAGCCACTCAAAAACTACTTATTGAGTATAAATTTGAGACCAAGCTGGTCTCAAACTCCTGACCTCAAGTGATCCACCCACCTCAGCCTCCCAAAGTACTGGGATTATGGGATTACAGGCATGAGCCACAGCACTCCCAGCCACTATTTTAGACTGAATGACCAATTCCTAGATTGGATAAGTCCTATACTGCTCTGAAATTAGTGAAATGAGACTTTTTTGTAGATTCTCAAACAATATACCTACATGAGACTTTAGGAGTTTAAACCCTGAAAATGCTAATAATATAGCTCACCTTAAGCTACCGTTGTAACAAAACTATTTTACATTGCATCCCCCAAAACGGCTGAAAGAAATACAGCACATGCCTCAGAAATGGAAGGAACTAAAACACCAGTTTATTGCTGATTCTAATGCTACCAGCTGAACATCTTTTCATATTTCTCAGTGGCATGGACTCCTTACATGCCTCTAAACATTTTCTCCCCTTTTGTTCTGTACTTCTGTTCTAGCACAAAGTAAATGTATGTAAATGCTTGCTACCATTAATATTTTTTAAATATCCCACAAAAGAAGACACGGAAGCAAATAGTTCTCAGAAACCCATAAACAGCGGGTACATTATTAATTTAATTTAATGGACGGTTAACATTTAAAGGACATGGGGAAGTTAAGGTCAATCAGAGAACGGATGAATCTTTATATTAAAGAAAATGACTGGTGGCCAGGTGCAGTGGCTCACGCTTATAATCCCAGCACTTTGAGAGACCAAGGTGGGTGGATTACGAGGTCAGGAGTTCAAGACCAGCCTGGCCAACAGTGAAACCCCGTCTCTATTAAAAACACAAAAATTAGCTGAGAGTTGTGATGTGAGACTGTAATCCCAGCTACTTGGGAGGCTGAGGCAGGAGAATCGCTTGAACCCAGGAGGTGAAGGTTACAGTGAGCTGACATCACACCACTGCACTCCAGCCTGGATGACAGAGCCAGATTCCGTCTCAAAAAAAAAGAAAGAAAGAAAATGAGAATATAAACATTTTTTAAACTATATGTAAAAAAACAATATAAAAAATTAAAAGTAGAAAAGTCTTTACCTGTTGTGACAAAGATAAGCTATGTAGGTCAAATCAGCAGGTCTCCTTAACAAAGAAACCAAATCTCTATGCCAGCTCTCTGATTTACCAAATGGAAATACTTCCTATCTTGGCTGGGCATGGTAGCTCATGCCTGTAAACTCTGGGGGACCAAGGTGGGAGGATTACTTGAACCCAGGAGTTCAAGACCAGCCTGGGCAACAAAGCAAGATCCCATCTTTAAAATAAATTTTTTAAGTAGCTAAGCATGGTGGTGCATGCCTATAATCCCAGCTACTAGGGAGACTTGAGGTGGGAGGACTGCCAGAGCCTAGAGGTCGAAGCTGCAGCGAGCTATGACTGCATCACTGCACTCCACCTGGGTGACAGAACAAGACCCTGTCTCTCAAAAAAAAAAAAAAAAAAAAAAAAAAAAAAAAAAAAAATCCCTATCTTATTAAGAAAAGCAAAATATAGCCCAAATCCCCAACGTTGGAGGTGGGACCTGGCAGGAGGTGATTGAATTATGGAGGTAGATTTCCCCTTGGTGTTGCTCTCATGATAAAAAGTGAGCCTGAGAGCTGGTTGTTTTAAAAGTGTGTGGCATAGAGAAGAAACCTCTGTGCCAGTTTTCCATGTGACACCCTCCTCCAAGAGGGTGTGGAGCTCCAGCCCAGGCTAGCTTGCCTCACTCCTACATGACCCACCCACAGCCTATCAGGGTCCAGGGAGACATTTGTTCTTGCTTTAAGTTAGGAGTAACAAATAACTTAATTTTTTTCGATCAAGAAAGAAAACCCACCTCTACCTTTAAAATCACACCCAGAACCCCGCATCTCACCCTATGCCCTATGTTGTTGCTAATGTCAATACGATGCTTAATCTGTTATTCAAAAATGATTTTTATGTAATTAATGTATGCTTTCTTGTTTATAAATGCCTGATTTTAAAAAAAGTGTGTGACACCTTCCCCCTCTGTCTCTGCCACCCCCCTGCTCTGGCCACATAAGACGGGCCTGCTTCTCCTTCACCTTTGCCACAATTTTAAGTTTCCTGAGGCCTCCCCAGCCATGCTTCCTGTACAGCCTGTAGAACTATGAGCCAATTAAACCTCTTTTCTTTATAAATTACCCAGCCTCCAGTATTTTTTTACAGCACTGCAAGAACAAACTAATATAATACGACATACGGTATGCTAACTTTGGTATACGAAACAGGAAAATAAGCACATTAAGACTTACATAAAGTACCTCTAGAAGGATATACAAGAAACTTGATAATACTTAAATTATTTAGCTATACTCAATAACAAGAGTAAGATCTTCGTGGGCCAGGAACAGATGAGAAATTTAGAGTGGTTAAGTAGGGACTAAAGCCACGCAGCCCCCAGGAAAAGGGCATTTAGCTAAGAACAGTGTAGCTAAAGCTTCAAAGCTCTAAAAGTCCAGCAAGCCATGCATGGGACAGAAGACCAGAAACAGACTCCCTGCTGGAACTGGGCCAAAAAAAGTTCCACCCAACACCTGCATGTGACGGGAACAGAACTACCCTGAGAATAAACACTGGGCCTGCATAAAACATATAAGTAAAAACTCAAATTCCTAATAAAACAGCTGACCTAGAGCTATGTCAATGTCAGCCAGAGAGTAAACTCCAAAGCTACACAAAAGGGGCAAAACTATCTAATATGAGCTCGCAAACCAAAATTATAATATACTTTAGGAAAATTACTACCATCAGCAGACATACCAAATAGGATTTATACCTGAAGACAGTTTTAAAAATGAAGAATCTTAATTTTAAATGTCTTTGAGCATACTAAATATACTTAAGTGGGACTAACATCCTAAAAGAAGAATAGAAGATAATTAAATGATCCCAGGCATTTACAAAAATAATCTACTGCAAATCTTGTAAATAGAAAACAGTATCTGAAATTAAAGTCAGTAGATGGGACCAACACCTGGCTAACAACAAATGAAGGGATAACTTATGCATTAGAAGTTACTTAGAACACAGTATAAAGATTAAGATACTACACAAAGAGGAAAAAAGAATTAAGAAGTAGGGAAGACAGGTTCCAACAGTGAAGTAATTGCAATTCAGAAGAAAAAAATAAAAGAGATGAAAAAAATTTTAATAATGGTTGAAGTTTTTCCAAGATATTATTTTCTAGGTTGAAAAAACTCTATACTTCTAATGTTTTTTTAAATCTACACTTATACACAGCAATACGGCAAAATATAAACATTAAGGATAAAGAAAATTACCGAAGACCTAACAAGCTGGATCTAAACTTCAAGATAACAAAAACATGGGAGCCAGGAATAGTGGCTCATGCCTATAATCACAACACTTGGGAGGCCGAGACAGGCAGATCACTTGAGCTCAGGAGTTCAAGACCAGCCTAGGCAACATAGCAAAACCTCATCTCTACAAAAAATACAAAAATCAGCTAGGTGTGGTGTCTCCTTCCGGTGGTCCCAGGTACTTGGGAGGCTGAGGTGGGAGGATCACTTGAGCCCAGGAGGGACCTGATCAAATAATCTTTGACAATGGTGCCAATACTCCACAATAGAAAAACAATACTCTCTTCAGCAAATAGTGTTGAGGAAATTGAACATGCCCATGCAAAAGATTAAAGATGGACCTTATCTCACACCATATACAAAAATTAACTCAAAACAGGTCTAAAGGTAGCACCAGAAACTACAAAACTCCTAGAATAAAACATAGGGAAAAAGCTTCATGACATTGAAATAGGCAATGATTTCTTGGATATGACACCAAAAGTACAGATAACAAAAGCAAAAGTAGACAAACAGGACTACATCAAACTGAAAAACTTTTGTGCACCAAAGGATACAGTCAACAGAGTGAAAAGACAATCTATGGAATGGGAGAAAATATTTGCAAACCACATATCAGACAAGGGGTTATTACCCAGCATATGTAAAGAACTTTTTAACTTGATAATTAACAACAAAAAATAATCCAATCTGAAAACAGGCAAAGATCTTGAATAGACATTTCTCCAAAGACATACAAATCAGCCAGTAACAGCGGCTCACACTTGTAATCCCAGCACTTTGGGAGGCAGAGGCAAGTGGATCACTTGAACCCAAGAGTTCAAGACCAGCCTGGGCAACAAGGCGAAACCCCAGCTCTACAAAAAATACAAAAATTAACCGAGCATGGTGGCACATACCTGTAGTCCCAACTACTCAGGAGGCTGAGGCGAGAGGACTGTTTGAGGTCAAGGCTGCAATGAGCCGTAAGTGTGCGACTGCACTTCTGCCTGGGCAACAGAGCAAGACCCGATCTCAAAAAAAACGGGATATACAATAGTCAACAAGCATATGAAAGGATGCTCAACATCACTAATCATAAAAGAAATACAAATCAAAACCACAATGAGATCTCACCCTCATACCTGTTAGAACTG